CAATTAAATATGCGTTATAGAGGTATATAAGATAGATTAAATGTGAAAAAATAAAAATTCTCTTATTTTAATTTTGAACTATTGTGCATGTACCATACTTTGTATCTACTACTATGGCAGATCTGAAAGTTACATGCTTCCGAGAATATAGAACATTTTGCAACAATTAATATGTTGCAAACTTTTGCGAAAACGCCGAAGAAATAATATATAATTATTCTATTCAAAATTCTAAATAAATTTTAAGTACCGAAACAGAAAAAATAGCACGTATAGAAGAAATGTAAATATTTAGTTTTAACTTAATATAGGTTGCAACAAGGTCTTTACTGAGTTAGTTAATTCAGTATTGGCATCGTAATCTATACTGAAGACACTGACCGATGTCTGGCATGTAGTATTAGCTATAATATAGCTCTCAGAAGGCAAAGAACAGTCACCATTGAAACAATTAATTAATCCCTTCAATGGAACAGTAACAGATTTGATAGAGTCTGTTTCTTCGTCATAGTACACGTCTGGTGCACTTGCTTCTTCACCAGTTAATCTAGAGAAAATCCATTTGGGATTTGTACATCCATCGTTATCAGATTCGTAACCAACTTTTGGGAAATTGACATTGATACCAGTACCTAATGGCAACACTGAGTTATCGCCTTGCTTGTCAAAAAGATCACCAACGAATTCAACAACTTTTTTAGCATAAATATTGGATGGTTCTAATGGATCATTATTTAAGGAATCTTTGAAAAACGAATTATTAGAATTAGAACCGGAAAATGCAATAGCAGGAATCCCTCTGTAAACAGAGCTTGTAGCAGCTCCAATAGTACCCGAAATTGTGAAGTAACCTGGTGATAAATTGGTTCCTTCATTAGGACCTGAAACCACTAAATCAACTTTGTCGATAACAGTTTTGTTGTCCTTACCATCTGTTGAATTAAAAAACTGAGGAATAACATAGTTCAATGCGAACGACACAGAACTAGCTGGTGTACCATTGAAGTACCAGATATTCATGTTGTCAGCTTCGTGTCCCCACGATGGTTGTCCTTTTTGGACATAGCCAAATTCTCCGTCAGTTAACAATTCCTTTGTTGCTGGAACATCGAACTTACCAGACCAACCTGATCTTTGGGAAACTGGTGCTACTAATAACACATTATGCCCTGCATCTGTTAATGCTTTAAACGTGCTACGAATATTTGTTGCAGTAAAACCATCATCATTAGTTAAAATAATATTTTTACAAAGAACGCTTGTGAGTAAGAAAGCGATTGTTATGAAAGTTTTCAACATTTCGAAGCAAGTAAGTATCACTAATGATTGAAAAGTCTCTGTAGAAGGTTAGGAACGGGATCATTATTTATACTTCATATCAACTGTATTGAAGCGTTAAATGCAAAACGTGGACTTCATATTTTGTACGTACACGAGGGCATAGCAATTTTTTGTGCATAATGCAAATGCAACCTAACATTCTATTTTATTGGGACTAGTGTGCCTACAGCATATCAAATTTATTATGTATTATGGCATATTTTATTTTATCAGTGTTTTTTATTTGGGTCCTTAATCCGATGAAAGGTTACCTATGGGTCTACATTTACATGTTTTCATTTGATTTTTATTAAACCCCACGTCTAACACCGAAAAAAGTGCATTTGATATACATGCTGCAATGTGTCTCAAACATACAGGTTTTATATTGTATGACTGCTTTCTATATATCGATTAGTGAGTCTTAAAGTTATTGCCTAAATTTCATTTATTCATAAATTACATGCATATCATAAGTCTATTTAAAATGCATGTAGTCTATTGTTACACATACGTGAGAATCCAAAATACATCCTATTTAAAAAGTGAATGGTAGCAGTATACAAGAATTATTCAGAATTAAAAAGACAATGCGATTGAATATTACAAGACTAAAATTATGCATCTTCTATAATAATTTTCATGGCCCCTGACTTAGAGTCAGCAGCTAACTTAAACGCATCTTCAGCTTTCTCCAAAGGAAATGAATGGGTAATTAATTTGTCCAAATTGATGATTCCAGCTTGCATCAATTTTATAACTGTAGGCCAGGTATTGGCATACCTATATTGGAAAGTTACATGGATTTCCTTCACAGACAAGATCATGAATGGAAATTTTTGAAACTCTTTACCAACCCCTATGATATGCAACTTACCGCCGAAATCAAGAGCATGTGTGGCAAGTTCGAGTGATGATTCAACACCCGTGCAATCAATTGCAATATCGAAGTTCTCTAAATCAGTTGTCACCTTTTTCAAATTTTCTTGTAAAGAACCAGCAACAAGAACAGTGGTGACACTTGGGATTTCCTTCTTAATGAAGTCAAGCTTAGACTGTTCAATATCAGTTACAACTATAGGAAATGCACCAGCCAGTTCCGCACATTTTGCTGTCACGAAACCAATAGGACCAGCTCCACATACAAGTACTGATTGTCCTAACTGAAGGCCAATATGTCTCACACCACAAAACAGAACTGAAAGTGGCTCCAAGAGAGCACCTTGCTGATAGGTGAGAGAATTGATCTTATGACAAAATTGAGCTGGATGCTTGATGTATCTTCTTAAAAACCCTGCTACAGGAGGAGTCGACGAGAACAAAACCTGTTCACATCCATTATATTTGCCCGTTAAGCATTCCTTACAAGATTTGCATGGAACACCCGGTTCAAGAGCAACCTTATCCCCCAGCTTTAAATTGGTAACTTTGTTTCCTACTGCCAAAACTTCCCCAGATGACTCATGTCCCAAAATATGTTCATCTTCGACCACCATTGTTGGTCCAATACACCCATGTTTTTGAAAGTGGATGTCTGAACCACAGATACCTGTGCATTTGACATGGACTAATACCTCATCTTCATTAAGATCTGCGGCTTGTGGGGTATCAATTTCTGTGACATATAGCTCATGCTTTGGATTTGTAAAAACTCCAATATTTGGTTTAGTGGTCATATTCAATGCTTGTCTATGATGAGTTTATGGAGAGGAAGTCTGACAATTAGACTGGCAATCTATTTAAGTTAAATATGTCTGAGCATATTGAATTGTACCACTCAAATCCCCAATGGGTACTTACCGCGGAAAAACTATCGGGCTCGGTAGAGACTAAACTGATTTTGATTTATACACTTATGGACCGTTCATTGATCTTATAAGTTTTTACCGAACATTCGGTGATATTTTTTGTAGGCTTTACTAATACTTGATTCCTCCGAAATTAAATTTTATACTGGAATTCGTCATGTACTTGGGAACGACAAGTTAAATTTATCATATGCTTCAAGAGATTCGCAAGTTTCGACTTACCAACGGTCCGCGATATGATAACATTCACATGTGGATGATATTTCGCATACTTCTATTGCTATTCAAATTGTGAGTGTCTTAGGCTTATTCGCATTAAATAACACTTTCTGGAAAGACGTAGGGGGAAGGAATTTTGCTTTGAATGATTCTTGTTTTTGTTTTGGCTGGAATGTTTTAACGGTAATACGACAGACAATTAAAAATACAATACGGCTGCGGTAAATTGCCTTGTAATATTATGAATTACTAATTCCGAATCGCATAGAACAATAGAAGTTCTAGCTCCTTGCTTAATGAAAAATTCTACCGGTATGTAAGAAGGTTGTTTTTTTTTAGGATAATGGGAATTTAATTTCAAATGGTGACATAAAACAGTTAATTTTTGGTATTACTCCACAATTCGTTTAAATAAGTGTAGAAAGTAAATTAGTCAGAGGCTTCTTTTCTTTGTTATCGAAACTTGCCAATGTGAAGAGGGTGAACTAAAGCGGTAACCAAACTGCCTATTATGTTCAGTTGTTCGCCGTTTAAATCCAAAACATGCATCCTATTGCCAATTTCATTTCGAAGCTGGTGAGTTTTAGATTTCTACCTAGTATGACAGTAATGAATTACTATAAGGCTCTACTCCCAATTTGCATCACATCCTTGCAGTATCTGCTAATATAAAAAAGGCCAATTCCTGTCTTTGAAAAGGCATTTTAACTCTTGAGTTTAGGGAAAATAAGGATGAAGGTAAGCTTGATTCAAATTGCAATAACTGCCTTGATGGCCAGTGAAATAAATGCACACCCAACAAAGGAATTAGAAAGAAGAGATTTAATCTCAAGTGTCGATAATATTGTTAATTCAGCTATTAATGATGGTAAAGCTAGCGAAAATAAGGCTAAGAGTGCCATTAGTGAAATTTTTGACAAGATAAACAACGGTGTCAAACAAGATATTGAGGACTTGAAACAGGTAGGTAAGTCTATTGCTGACTTGCTTAAGTCTGTTGTACCTACAGAAGATTTATCAACTCCAGAGGGTGTTCAAGAATATTTAGGTCAACTTTTTCAAAATAGTAAAGATATATTCAAGGATTCTATTGATATGGTGGCACATGGGTTGAAGCCAGGTAGTATTGCAGGCAATATCGATGGCTTCTCTGACGAGGTCAATTCCTCGGACAATGAGAATACTAAGGAACCAGAGAAATCTGTTTATCCTCAAGCTGAATCTGGTGACCCATCTTATTCTTTTTCTGAAAAGCAACTACGTTCTGCTATTCAAATTCCTGAGGAATACCAGTATGGAAATGGCTCTAAAAATCCAGTTGTCTTGGTTCCTGGTACCGGAAGTAAAGGGGGTATGACATATGCTTCCAACTATGCCAAATTGTTTAAGGACACTGACTATGCTGATCCTGTATGGTTAAATATTCCCGGTTATTTGTTAGATGATGCTCAAAACAATGCTGAGTATGTTGCATATGCCATTAACTATATATCTGGAATTTCAAATAATAAAAATGTGAGTATTATTTCTTGGTCGCAAGGTGGGCTTGACACTCAATGGGCTTTGAAATACTGGATATCTACTCGTTCAAAGGTAAGCAACTTTATCCCTATTAGTCCAGATTTCAAAGGAACCAAAATGGTTCCTGTTATTTGTCCATTTTTCCCGAAGTTAGATTGTCCTCCTTCCGTTTTGCAACAAGATTTTAACTCCACTTTTATTCAAGTTTTGCGTGCGGATGGTGGAGATTCAGCCTATGTTCCAACAACTTCTATATACTCTGGATTTGATGAAATTGTTCAGCCACAATCTGGAAACGGTGCTTCTGCAATTTTAAATGATGATCGTAATGTTGGTGTTACAAATAACGAAGTTCAAACTATATGTCCAAATAAACCTGCTGGAAAATATTATACCCATGAAGGTTCTCTTTATAATCCCGTTGGTTATGCTTTGGCCGTAGATGCTTTGACTCATGACGGTCCAGGTCAGTTAAGCAGAATCGATTTAGATACCGAATGTGGAAAAATCGTACCAGAAGGATTAACCTACACTGATCTTCTTGCTACCGAAGCATTGATTCCTGAAGCTCTTGCTTTGATTATAGGTTACGACAATAAGACTCGTGAAGAGCCAGCTATAAGGTCTTACGCTCAGTAAATATTTCTATAGGTATTATTTATGAATGTAATAATTGCTTTTTGTATACTATTTTAAATCAAAATTGTATTGTTAGAATAGAAATTGAACCTCAAATTCTCAACTAGAATACTCTTATTCAATAAAATCTACAATGCTTTAAATAAGGACAAAATATAAATAAATAATTCATTTTAGCTATATAAACGGGTACGTACTTCATTATTTGGACAAAATTTCTTCAGCTTCATCTGAGTATTCTTGTCTTTGTCTATCTTCTTTGGATGGTCTTTGCAACATCGCTTCCAAGTCAGCAGAATATGGAGCTTTATGATTGAATGGTGGGTTAGCTTCCTTGACGGTCTTAAAGTAATTCTCATATATGTTACCATTGTAGTTACCTAATGATGAGTTGATCATCATATCAGATAATTGGAAAGAATCAGTTAATGGAATAACATGTGGTCTTAAATCCTTACATAATTTTGGAATATGTTGATCAGTCAAGATAGAAATTGATTCAGTTGATACCACTGAGTATGTCAAGAAGATACCTGAGAATTCTTCTAATATTATAGTTGCAGAATACAATTGAGCAAGCTTGTCCAAGATAGGAACTAATTCCTTTTCTTCAATGGAGTCCACTTTATCAAGGAAAGCCTTCAACAAGAAGAAGTGGGCCAATAACTTTGATAATTGCACCAAGTTTGCACCAATAAAGTCCCAGTCTTCATCATGCGCATCCAAAGTTGACAATGCTTGATTTGACGCTCTAATAATTGCAACTTCAACTGCATGTAAAACCTTTCTAGTGTCCTTCATATCTTCATTTTGAAGAATGACATCTTTATTGAGATATCTCTTGGAATCATTCAAAAAATCGAGAATACCAGTCATTTTTTGACCGTCACGAAGTACACTACTAATACTCTTCACTAATTGTTTACCAATAGACATTCCTAAAATGTTATTGTCACCTTCCCAAGTACATTGCACAGCCCAATCATTGTAGATTTTACCAAATCCTGAATAAGCTGAGTATCCATGACCACCACATGCCTGTCTACATTGATCGATAGTGCTCAAAGTTAACCATGTACAGGTAGATTTCAAGGATCCAGAAGCAATGAATAAAGACTTCATTGCTTCAATACCTTTGTCAATACCTGCCTTATCGTCTTCAGCTACGGCATCATCTAATTCATCCATAGTTTTGTGAGAAAGTTCTTGCAAAACATTAGAACCGTTAGAAAAAGCATATGTCATAGCCAACAAAGGAATCAAACGACGTTGATGTAATGGATAGTCCAACAATTGGTTTTCCTTATCATTTTCACCAGCCTTAGATGCCTTGAACTGTCTTCTACCAACAGCATATCTCAATGCAATGGTAATTACTCTGGATGACCATCTGAACGCATCTTTAACCATAACAACTCTACCTCCAAGTAAAGCAGAATAAGATAACTGATTGTTTGGTGGTAAAGTAACCTTACCTTCTGCAGTGACTTTGGTGAACTTCTGCAACATGAAAAATCTTGGGATTCTGACAGCAGAGAACTGAATCCAACCATTATCAATACCATCTCTACCCATCTTAGCACCAATATCTCCGACACTGACACCTGGCATTAAGTCATGGTTCGAATCTCTCAAAGGCACAACAAATGTCTTAACACCGTAGTCTTTTCCATGGACAATCAATCTGGCGTAAACAGCTGCGTGAGTGGCAGAATGAGCAGCACCACCAATCCACCACTTGGTAGCACCAATATGTGGAGTATTGATGATAAACTCGTCTTTTTCTTGATCAAATGTGGCTGTGGTTTCCAAACCGGCAACATTGGAACCATGCGCTATTTCTGTCATAGCAAAGCAACCATATATATTCTTCACGTATGCCGCTTCTTTGGTCAAAGCCCAGTAGTTCAATTGTTCAAACGAACCGTTACCTCTGACACAACTCAAAAATAATCCTAAGTGGACCCCTATTCTGGTGTGGAGTTGTGGGTCAAACACACTGATCAACGAAAGTCTTCTTTCTAACTCCTCGAATGACTCAACTTCGATGTATCTGGACACCCTGTTAATTTTTTGTGCAGTTAACTCTCTTTGTTGTTCTTTAGTCAAGTCATAAACCTTTGAGCTAGCAGCTAATATAGGGTCTCTTTCCATTTGCTGGATGAATTTTTTCACCTCTTCTGACTTCTCTTTGGATCCTTCCAAGAAGTAGTTCATAATTTCTGGGCTAAAAACAGCAGCCTTACGTTCAGCCCCAATCAATGTAGCAGGATTGGGTGCTTCAGAAGATTCAACATTCTTTGCAACACTTGTCATATTTTACTTAATACTATAATACTATGAAACTTTATTATTCTTTAAGCACAACTTCCCCAGTATTTATATATTTTCCAAATTGAAGAGGGGATCCGAGCTTCAACATACATCTCATGCATTTTTCGCACTTAAGCCGCTGTCTTAGAGTGAACTTGGTATAGATCGTAATCTACAACTTATTAACTATTTAATCTACAGCTGAACATGTGTATATATAGATGAGTGATTGATAGTGTAGCAGTGTTCTTAGCTGTATTTGCTGCTCTATTTGGGTGTCTTTAGTCGGGAAATCTTGTGTATCGTTTCTCATGCTAGGAAGTAAGGGCCGCGGGATGCGTTGAACCAGCGATAATAAAGTTTGTTCTTTCCTGTATATAATACCCTGTTAAAGGACTTGACCTCGGCCACTCAGGCGAATCTTCTACTAGCTATTACAAGAGAGTGGATTGTTCTGTGAGATTAATGAAGGTATGTTTATTAGAGGCATACGATCCCTGTCGAAAAAAAACAGCTAGAGCCTAGGGTTATGGTTTCAATTGAAATGGCCGCAAAGTAAATTCCGATGAGAGAAGAGCATGGCTATAAGAAGCAATAAGCTTTTAGGCTATCTTTCAGAATATCATATTTAATGTAAGCTTATAAACACGCCATCTAAATGTCTCATTGTTGAGTTGGTTAGCTTGCGGGGTGGGTAGTTTGGATCATGGGATTCAAGGTCCGGAAACATCTGCGCTAGTCTAATCGTAATGTAGGATGCTTCGGTTAAGGCGAACTGTTGTCCGAGACAAACTCTTGGACCACTGCTAAATGGCATGTAAGCCCATCCTATATTTCGAAGGCTTTCCCATCTTTCTGGTCTAAATACATCAGCATCTTTGCCGTAATAAGCTTCCAGTCTATGCATACTATATGTAGTGTATAGAACGAATTGGCCCTTAGGAACAAAAATTGGAGACTGCCTATCCTTACCACCACCTCTAGGCAATGTAGTATCCTTTTTAGCTACTCTAAAATTTTGGGGCACAGAAGGGTACATTCTCAACGTTTCATTTATCACCCACTTCAAGTAGGAACATTTTTTCATAGCTTCAAATGTAATTTTCTCAAGTTGAACATTATCGCCCTCTCCAAAGTGTTCGTATATCTCTTCCTTTAGTTTATTCCAAATTTCAGGGTTTCTTGCCAACTCAAAGAAAAGAAATGAGAGAAGACTTGCCGTAGTATTTCTACCAGCTAACATGATACTGAGCAATTCATCCTGGATAACAACTGGGTCCCTTGTTTGTTTAACTAATTCGTACAAAAATATGTACCCGTCTCTACTTTTGGCGTCTAATTCTTCTTGTGTAGTTTCCAATGCTTTATGTACGTAATGTCCAGTGAATTTATGTATTTTTCTATTAGCGTCCCGGAATTCTTTAGAATCAAATAGAAAGTATAAGTCTTGTGCCAACGCTCTCAGCATCATATAAGTTTGAGAGATATTGAATGCATCGTCGAAGCCAGCTTTTCCGTCGACATCAGTCGGCAATGATTGATATCCTATGGATTTATCACGCAACGAATCTACTGATTCTCCAAACAAAAACTCCGTCGCAGCATCGATTGTAAGCTTATGAAACAAGGTCTGAATGTCAAATACTTGCCCGTTATATTTACGTACGTGTTTAGAAAACACTTGAAGATGGGGTTCTAACGTTTGAACGTGTGCTACTCGTTCTCTAGCAAACTGAGGCCTCAACATAGCCCTAGAGTGTTTCCATCTTTCACCTTCAGAAGCGAAAATTCCGTTACCTAATAATGGTTTAAAAAACTTATGTCTTTTGCCAATACTAAAGTCTTCATATTGTGTAGCCACTACAGCTTTAACATTTTCTGCGTTTTTTGTATGAATAAGTTGCTTGTGAAATAATCTAGACTTTATGGTGTCGGTATCAGAATCAATGTACTTTTGCTTTTGGTAATCCACCAAAAACCCTTCCTTTCTAGCTTTGATAACGTTAATAAGACTCTTGATCCCAAACCTGCCACCATATTCTTCCATAGGTTTGCACCCCCATTGTCTCGCAAGCCAATAATTCTTAAGCAGAATAATAAGCTTGTATACAATATACGCTATAAATACTATTATATACCAATTCATTGGTTATTTTATTAATCAGGAAGATAAAAAATAAGATTTGCTAAAAAAGGGCCCAATTGAATTCCATATTATTCATCATGAATAAACAATAGGATCAAAATTATGCATGTGCTCAAAAAAACCAGTAATTAATTCTAAATACTAATCTACATCAAATTATTAGTATTGATTTTTCTTATTATTCCGTCGTATCACATAAGTAATATTGCAGCATTTGAAGTATTAGCTTTGGCATATCTCTTGACATCTTTATGCGGCATGTCTTTCGCTGAAAAATAATCATCGCCCTATAATGCTCAATGTAGTATGACGTTTTCGAACACAAAATTTTTTGAAGAAAATTTTGAATAGAATAATACGCAATATTTACAAGCGTACGCAAGTGTTAAATTTAGTACAAATATAATGCCGGATAGCATCTCGCACTTATTCTATGGAAATTCCGTAATGTATGCTAACAAATGTATCTGTGACTTACCCTAAGACTTTTTTCAGTATAATATAAAGCACGAACAAATAAACCATTACATGGATCATTAACTTAAACAAGAGGGAAATGTTAAATTCCGTAAATATTCGTGAAGCTCCGCGATGTACAGGATTATTTATGATATCTAATTGTATCACTTTATTGTTAGCACACTCTTCTAGGTCCTTCACATTGTCTATTCTTGTTAGGTTTTCTAGAGTAATATCTATCTTGTATGGGGATGTTTCATCTTCATCTAAACTAGTCACCGAGATCGCATAACCATCTAATTTCTCCTCGGGGCCAAATACCCTGGTATCAAGGGGAGAGGGAAAGCAATTTTTCCCTTTCAATGCTTGCAGTGAACTAATTATGTTTCCAGAGCTAATTCTCTTAGCTTGACTTCTATTTACCTTTCGCATTGAGTGGGTACCTGAGCTCAATCTTCTAGTCCTCGAAGCAGAACTGGAACTCAGGCTGCTACGTGATATCGATATGGACTGTGTATTGGCATAATCCTCATCTGAAATACTATCGCTGGAATTATTTGTTTTCTTTAGTCTGACCTTTTTTAAGCCCATGCTGGGAAATAGACTTATAAGTGTTTTGATATTTCTATTGTCTGAAGTAATTGTGTTCTTCAATCCCATTTTATTAATTGTATTATGATAATACTATATCATTGGTATAGTTTGGTGCATATGATACTACTTATATATATTCCTGGTCATAAAGTGTTAATAACAAGTTTAAGTGTGCTGGATTCATAATCTATCGTATTTGCGATTAGATAATATACGCATGCGGCTAAATTATAATCACTACGATGACTAAAACTTCATCATTTTAGATTACAATCTCCATGGAAATCAAAACTCTTGGGTCAGGAGGCTATGTACTACTGACAGTATTTGTCAATCGATTATGTAGACGTATATAACAGTAATGATGTTCTTAAGTCAAATACGGACATCTATAATTGCGTCCGGTCATTCTAAAAATACCTGAAACCTAAAACACAATTGAGGCTTGCAAGCCACTTACATTAAAATTTTCTATTAAATACTTAACGATAACAACACCATTGTTTGATAATTTATGAAGACTAGAATTCAAGCAAACGTCCCCTAACCAGATCGGACAGTTCTTTGACACTGATACCTGATTCTTGTAGACACTACAAACATTGAAGTTCGCGGGGTTACTGTCACTAGGTTACTGCCTTAAACTTAATTCACTATATGGGACCCTCCCACACGAAAATAGAAATACATAAAAACAATTCCTTCACAAAAACAATTCCTTCACAAAAACAATTCCTTCATAAAAACAAATACTTTCAGAAACAAATTAGTCAAACTTCTTCTGTATCAGACTTTTTACCGAGTATGGCCTTGCGGGAATAAATAGTTCACCAACACTGGCTGAAAAAAAAACCAAGAAATGTATATCAAAGTACAACTATACCGGCTTATTATATATGACATCTAGCATTTCATGTATGGTATACGTCTTTGTTTATAGATTAGATGATAATCATTTGCTGAAGTGGAGTTATTGAACTTAAGAATTGCACCCAAATCAAATAGTGCGCTTACATAATGAAATCAATCTCTATAAACACGAAGCAAATACCTTTTCAAATTATATTAAGAAATATTATAGAAATAAGTTCTTGATATCAGATGAGAAAGAGTGTAGTATGAGGTCAGTATTTTTAATTAATAAGAATTAAGGTAAAATGATTTTAAAAATGATTTTGTTAATTTTTATAAATATTACAAAATTTGATAAAAACGAGTAGACACTGGATGGTTTTCATTTTTATTTAGTGACTTAGGACAATGAAAAATTTCTATGTTTTATAAGATATTAGATATTATCCTTTGATTGTCTTATCCATTCATTATCTTGTAATAGAGATATTTGGATTGAATATATGGATTGGGTAATTTCCAATTCTTAAAATTTGCCTACTGTAATGGTTACTGGGTAGATGGAAAGAGAAGTAGTAACCATTATTGTAAACTTGAATCGACCAATAATAAATAGTCGTTTGTAATCACTTTATGAAACACTGCATATGTTCAGGTAACTAAGCTTGCAGCTTAATGTAAAGGGTAATATTTTTTGCCTGAATAAAAGAAATATTGCAAAATATAACTTCAAAGGTATTTTCAAAATTCGACCTATAAAAGGATGAAGTTATTCATGGCCAGAATATCTTTAAGTTGGATATTTAAGTAAAAATGCCAGAGCCCACTAAAGAAAGTATCAGACAACCAATCCCTATCACATTATTATCGGGGTTTTTAGGTTCCGGTAAAACTACATTACTTGAACATATTCTCACTACCGACCATTCTTTAAAAATTGCAGTGATTATCAACGACGTTTCTAAATTAAATATAGATGCCGCTTTAATTAAAAATCATGTCGTCAATAGAAGGGAAGAAAAAATGATTCAGTTGCAAAATGGATGTATTTGTTGCACTTTGAGAGGTGATTTACTAGAGGAACTAATCCAGTTGGCAAAAAATGGTGAATTTCATTACATAGTCATCGAGTCTACAGGAATATCTGAGCCGATGCAGGTTGCTGAAACGTTTACCACAGAGTTTTCTGAGATGCTTTTAGAATCTGATGGTTCAATACCTCGAGAAGATGAAAAAATTATTAGAGACATAATTGATCTAGGTGGATTGAACAAATTAACGAAGCTTGATACATGTGTCACTGTTATTGACGCTTTAAATTTTTTATCAAATATTGAAACAACCCAGTTTTTAGCTGATAGATATGGTGATAATGGACAAGGAGAAAAAGAAAGAACAATTACTGATTTGATGGTCGATCAAATAGAATTTTCAGACGTTATTGTTATCAATAAAATATCTGCCATTAAAAAGCGAAAGCAACGGAAGATTAAAAAAATGATAAAGTCATTGAATCCCGTAGCCAAAATTTTGGATGCTGATTACTGCAAAATTGACATTAATGAAGTGATCAATACAGAAAAATATGACTTTGAGAAAGCATCTACATCAGCAGGATGGTTGCAAAGCATTAACGAAATGACTCTAAGGGATGGATTTGGTGATAAATCTTCTACAGCCTTAACTCCCAAACCTGAAACTGAAGAATATGGGATTAATAATTTTGTCTATAAGGTTCGGAGGCCATTTCATCCAAAGCGTTTTTATGAAATGATAAGAGATAAATTCTTCGTAATAGAACAATCAGGATTTGAAGATGAAGAGGCACAAATAGGAGATGATTCTAATGAATTGGACAATGAAGACCTGGAAGATGAGAACCTGGATGAAGAAGAAGAAGAAGAAGAAGAAGAAGAATATTTTGAACCATCAGAGAAGCAGATTTTGAAAAATAAAAAGCTGTCCCCGTTTGGTCCCTTGTTACGCTCCAAAGGATTTTTCTGGTTGGCATCAAGGTATATCATTAGGGGAGAATTGTCTTCTGCTGGACCAATGTTAACTATAAAAGGTGGGATTCCCTGGTTTGGTGTGACAGGCCCGGACTTGTTTCCTCCTGAAGCTGCAAAATTAATTCAAGCAGATATGCGTGGTAAGCATGACGATAGGCGAAATGAATTGGTATTCATTGGTTTAAACATTAACCTGACGAAATTATCTGAAACATTAGATTCTTGCTTATTAACAGATGATGAGTATAAGCTATTCGAGGAAGTAGTCGACGAAGAGAAAAATTTGTTTAAGATTGAAAAAAGGTTACAAGGAGTATTTGAAGATGGATTTGCTGATTGGATCACCTTTGACGAAGGAAATGACCAGGGTGACGATGTTAAGACTGAAAACAGTAACCATAACCATAGCCATAGCCATAACCATAGCAATAGTCATATTGGTGAAAGGCATTTGAAGTCTTCAATAAGTATACAATAAGTTAAGATAGGCAACTTTAGGGTTACATATTATGCAAACACGGGAGTATATAGTAAAGTATGCATTTTATACAATAAAAAGATTTAACTATATTTACTCTGCAAGCTAAGCTTTTAATTTGAAATTGTTTCATTTAGTCCGCTTTCCTTTTTTTAAAAGCACATGTACTATGGTTCATAATTACCAATGATACATGTAACTGCCTGTCCACCTACTGAAATTGATGGTTTGTTTCCACTAGTGTTAATAGAAACACGCAATTTTGCGTCTCTTGAAATCTGACACCCTTGCTTGACATCAATAGATTTAGTATCTTTAGCTGATATCAGAGACAAGTATGCGCCTAGTGCCCCAGCACCACTTCCACAAGCTGGGTCCTCATTCACACCTATGACTGGAGCAAAACTTCTGGATTCATAAGTTCCATCTTCATGTTTACCGAAAACTTCAATTCCTGTCCATTGGTGGAGTTCAGATAATTTTGAAATTTCCGAGTAGTTAGGCTTTAAATTTACTACATCAGCACCTTCAGCTAATTGTACAGTAAGCCATTTAGGGCCAACGTCGAGAAGGACAGGTGATGCAATGGTTGAGCAAGAACCAGAGGGAATCTTTAATGCATTCTCAAGATCCAAGTGAACTGATGAGTCAATTGGTATTATATAAGAATAAGGCAACTTAAACGAAAGAATAAGTTCTCTTGGAGTAGAAATATCGCCATCAATCAGGATTTCAACGAGTCCTGCACCACATTGCTGGATCAATTTTCCATTTTTTGGTTGAATAAGACCACTTTCAATCAATGCGAAACAGGATCCAATCGTCGGATGTCCTGCAAAAGGGAGTTCATTTCCAGGTGTGAAAATACGAAGATTATAATCAGCCCCCTCATTAGTGGGTTTCAATACGAATGTAGTTTCGGATAAATTTGTCCATTTTGCAATTGCTTGCATTTCCTCAGAATTTAAATCGTCTGCATCGAAAAATACAGCAACTGGGTTACCCTTAAATCTTTTATTTGTGAAAACATCCACTTGCTTAAACCTTCTTGAATCCAGCATCTATAAATTATAACTAAATACAGAAGACATTTAATATCTTAGATTAAAACTACTGTCTGAAAAAATGACTCAATACCCAGACTGCATATTATATATCTATATACATTGACTACTACATGATATGCACCAAACTAAAACATGTCATTTTCATATGGACAATTAATACTGCTATGTCCATCACGTTCACAGAGGCCACACCAATCAGTTTTCCCAGAACTAGGGTCTGTGGGCTTTTTGGGAACGTATATAGGTAATTCGTTTGACTTAGAAGTGCCTTTGATTTCAGGCTTCTCCAAACGATCGTCCAGTTTATTGTTAGTATCTTCAAGCTTTTGTAATGCATCTTTAAGCAGTAACTCTAAATCCTTATTCTTCTCCACAGCAGCCTTTAGTGCTTCATCTTTTTCTTTGAGCTCATTTTTGTGTAAATTATCTAGCTCTTCTATAGTATTTTGAAGATCAGTCAATTCTTCAAAAGTCGGCCTCATTTCCAATTGGTTTTCCAATTCATAAATTTTACTTTGCATATTTTCGTTAGAGTCATCAGACTTTGGTTTCTGGGTTTCTTTATTGTCGCCATTTAGTTTCACAGATTTCACTTGATGCGCTAATGAACTTATTTCATTGTTATCTCTTAAATTGTTCGATTTTAATTGTTCAATAGATTTGTCTTTTTCAATTATATCAGATCGTAACTCTGTTAGCCTTGTTTTAAGTAAAGTCTCAGAAGATTTCAATTCATCAAGTTCAGTTTTCATACTTTCTATTTGATGAATTAAAGAATCATATTTGCCTTGTAACTTATCCGATTCATTATTCTTTCCTCCCTCAAGCTTAGACAACTTTTCGGTAAGTGTATTTATTTCTTTTATTTGTAAATTTGCCTTATCATTTAGACTTTTCTCCATTTCAGATTTCTCCATTTGTAAGTTCTCAAGCTTTGCCCTAAGATTTGAAACCTCTGAACTTGAAGGAGATTGCATAGCCTCAGATAGATTTCGTTCATTACTCTTATTTGTTTCTGAATCTTCTAAATTAACATTTTTTTTTGAAAATTCTTCCACTTTGGCATTTAATTCTGATATCTTTTGCTCGTAATACTCTTCATTTTCTTGTTGAGTGGAAACCATTAGATCTAAACTTCGTCTCCATTCTTCTCTCGCTTTTTCAAACTCAGCTTTTTGCTTGAGTAATTTCTTGTCTTTTTCCGATAAATCATTCTCATACTCTTCCAATAAAGGCTGGATCTCATTAACAGTGTTTCGTAAATCATTCAATATTTTGATCTTTTCAGTCATCTCTAACTGATTGTTTTCATACTTTCCTCTCAAATCTTTCAAATCTTGCTCTAACCTTATTTTTTCTGTATCCTGTTTTATGGAATCAATATATTTCGTATCGCCATTTGACAATAAGGTCGATGTTGAGGTTTCAGACAAACTTTTGGAGTTGGGAATTGTATTGCTTCCATTATCTTTCAAAGTATGTCGTTTAGGATTTACTATTGGCTTTTCTGAATAAGGTGAACGAATTAGTCCATTTTTAGTTGTAAAGCTGTCACTTGACAGCAGGGAGTTTAGACCCCGATTCAATGGAGATGGTGTCGATGCCACTTCAACCGGCGTACTAGAACGGAGACTAGACGTGGGCCTCCTTTCTCTTGATAAATGTGCGTTTACAGACTTCAAACGTTCGAAAGGTAAGAATAAACCAGTCATAGGTTGTTGAACTTCGAAGTATTGGACACCGTTTACGGATCCAGAGTTCTTTCCTCTCGCTGCTGCAATGGGCCCTATAAGCTCAATTCCGCCAAAAATACCATTCTTCCCGTCAATAGGACCATAATATCTTAATATACCTTGTCCTCTAGTACCTGGAATTGACACTTTCGTACCAACATGGTCTGCCATTGTTTAGTATACGCAGTTGCAGTTGCAATAGATTCTTTTTAAGTTTTTGTTTTGATTTCGATCAACGCGGAAGAATTAAAAGTTGGTATTAATATATTAATTGTGCTATATACTTTTATGTGCCAAATACGTAAATTATTTTCTTTTAAGACTAACAAGTCTAGGAGAAGAATTGTCATTAGCCTTTAATTCCTTACTTAAGATCCATTTCACAGAAGTTAGATTACGTTGTGGGTTAGAGTTATGTTTAGGTACTTCTGAATCGCTTTCATTATGTAATTTCAAATCACATAGTTCCACTGACAAGCTATTGATTTCTTTCAAGTGGTCATATGCACTTTCATTAATTTGGAATATGACTTTTTCTAAATTCTTCAAGATGTTCTCATCTGCCCGCGATCTAGCTTTGAAAGGCATCATTTTACTTATAAGTTCATTTTCCAAATCTTTCACTTTTCTCAACTTTTGACGCAACGAAGTTTGTAATGATTCATTCTGGAAATCTAAAGGACGCCTTGTTAGGGCTAAGGAATTTGATTCGTTGACGAAAAGGGAAAGCTGACTCAACAATTTGTCTATCTTGACTCTTTGTACCTGACTTTCTTCGGCTCTCGCAGTCAACTTGGTTAAAGATGAATCCAAATCATGCGATGACTCTAAAATGCTCGATAATGTAGGCTTGACTTGATTAATGATTGGATATATATCAGCAGTAGATGACAATCTCCATAGTTCAGGTGTTTCCAATGATTTCTTGTCATCAGACCCTTCAATAGTTCTATCGTGATCATCGATAAATTTACTCAACCTCTTTACGTTATTCTTCATGATAATCAAATAGCCACACGTTTCGTTGTAAACATCAATAATCTTTTTTGAAACCATGTTAGATTCGCTTTTAACAGGACCCAGAATACCATCATACATCAAAAATTCAAGAGGAGGTGGAGGAGTCAAACTTTCATTTTTCAAATCAACGTTTTCTTGTGTCGTAGCAGAATGAGAAGAGTTTTTAGTGTTTCCAACAGTGGTGCTCGATTTATTCAAATGTTCTGACTTAGATGGTTTATCATTGGTCTTTATATCCATGGAGCCAAGAAGATTTGCAACATTATCCTTTGGCTTTGATGTAATATTATCATCTGACTCATCCCAAGATTCACTAGATTCAGGGCTGGAAGCTTCAGAGTCTGATTGCTTATCACCTTTCTCAATATTTTCTAAACTTTTAAACAATGATCCTGGAGTCTCTTTATTATTACCAGTATGACTTGGGACTATATCTTCGATTACTGTGACTTCATCAGTCTCATTATTAACTTCTTCTTCAAATGGAGTTTCCGACGAAGTTTCTTCATTAGAAGTAGCACTTTGATTACTTGAGTCAGGAGATTGAGTTATTTTGAAAGTAGAGTCAGTTTCCTTTCCAAATTTAGCAAATGG